AATAATATGATGATTTAAAAGGTAGCTATAGGCTATCAACAACTTCCAGATATTTATATAGAGGAATTACCAATTCCTAAATTGCAAAAAAATGGATTCTTATTTATCTGGGTGATAAATGCTAAATATTCTAAAGCTTTTGAAATGATGAGAAAATGGGGTTACACGTAAGTCTTTTGAATAAATATTACATTTAAGATATTGAAATATGCTGAATTATCATTACCACCGCTACTTATTATTGTTCAGGTATTGTGATGATATTACATGGGTTAAACAAACAGTTAATAGAAGAATGGCTAAAGGGCATGGATTTTATTTGCAACATGCCAAAGAAACTTGTTTGGTTGGAAGAAAGGTAACAAATGAAAAAAGTTAATTATTATTATTATTAATTGAATCAATGATGAATTAATTGAATATATATATATGATGAATATTTGTAAGGGAGAAGATCCTCCAGGATGTAATCATTCAATTTCTTCAGATGTTATTTATTCTGAAAGAAGAGGTCAAAGTCAAAAACCAGAAGAATTATATGAAATGATAGAAGAATTGGTTCCAAATGGTAAAAAATTTATTATTTATTTATTCGTTTTCTACTTTTCCCCCCTCACACTTTTTTATTTGTTTGATTAGGAACCTTTTTAGAAATATTTGGTAGAAAAAATAACTTGAGAGATTATTGGGTGACAATTGGGAATGAACTATAAACAAACAAAAATTTCTTTTTACATTTCACTTTTTTTTACTTGATTTTATCAGGGCTTCAACCAAACAATTGATAGATTGAATTAAAAAATATAGATTATTAATTTGTAAATAAAACATTTGGGCTTTTAGAAATTAGGTAGGATTTTTTATTTTTTAGAATAATAAATAAAAATCTATTTTCTTAATATCTCGTTTTTATTAATTAATTAAAGGATTGACCTATTTTACAACTGATTGATTATCTTTTCTTAATTTGTTTAATTTCTATTTTGGAAATTTTGTTATTTTATATACGTTGATAAATTTCATTGAAAAGATATACAACGCAATAAAGTCAATATAAAAAAAAACCAAAATAACAGTCGAAATTCTTAAAATCATTATTAACCTAGACGTAGTAACATTAACAATAAAAAAGATATTTTTTAAATTACAAATTGATCTATTTAAAACTAAAAGCAACCTTAAAACTTAGTGAGCATGATATGAGATATGAAAATAATAACTTGAATCATACAAATTTTTAATCAATAATATTGGCATGGGTGCTTTGGGTGATAAAGAACTTGAAAGAAAATTGGCTAAATACGTAATGAAGTTGAGGAAGAATTGGATTGAATCAAGTATGGAAGGAAATAAAGGAAAATTGACGATTCATTTGTGAACAGCGTAAAATATTATGGTAAAGTCCGCAGTTCTATTATGATAGCAACTTCGTGATATAATTGGTTGTTATTATGCTCAATCGACTAATTAATTAAAATTAGTCAATCAAAAAAGGGGCTTCGTAACTTAAGTTATCCAAACGTCCCCCCACATTTAGTTATTACACATCATCAATTAATATTAAAAAAGGATGTTTATTTGTAGTTCAGAGGGTTTGATATGATTAGATTTTTAAAATATGTATATAATTTAAATTGTTTTAAAATTTAAAAATAAAAATGCAAATTTACAAAATGAAATTTATTAGTGAAATAATTGAAATAGTTCATTCCAAAAAACAACTATTATGATTTTTTCAATACATTTACATAATAAGCATTACATACAGCTTTAGCTTCATTTCCTAATTGAAGAAATTCAACATTTCTCCAGATCTTGAAAAAATTTTCTTTTGTCATTGATCCATACCATTTATTACCATCACCATCGTAAAGAAATTTTAAAATTATTTCAAATACTTCTGGGAATGGCACTTTTATTGTGATTACATCACCATTTGTTATTTGTTTGAAAACTTCTTGGAAAAACCTGGACTGTAGTACCAAGTATTCTTTGTGTATCCAGAAAGGTTTATCGATTCCTTGAACTCGGAGCTCTGCAAAAGCTGTTGCCTTATCACTATAGTAGCTTGGTCCCAGTAGTCTTAGTTTTTCAAGAATATATGTAACTGGAATATCATCAATCATATATAAGTGATCATAATTTTGAAGGCTTTTACCAAAATCTGGTGGTGTTGATTTGTCAACTGATGATGGTGTTATAGTTTGAGTAGTTGTTGCTGCTGTTGACATTTTGTGAAGATTTTGTTTGACTGTTAAAGTTGTATATGATTAGGTTTTTTATTGATTAATTGTTTATTGATTGTTGATTGATTGTATGTGTGATTTAATTTGGTTTTTAATTTTATTAATTATTATTTAGACGATTTATTAAATTTATACAAATTTTTTTTTAAAATTAATTTTTGAAGATATTGTTCACGGTGCATATAATCAATATTAATATATATATTAAATGTAATATTATACAAAGTTGTACAATAGTAAGCAAATAAATGAATTGTGTTTGTAACACAAAACAAAGCTTAAAAATTCCATTATTTGAACAATAGAAAAAAAAAATTACTTGCTGATATTTTCTTAGATGACGCGTCAAATCATACATGTAAATTTTTGTTAAATGATAAAATTGTAGTTATTTGTCAACCAAAAACAGAAACAAAATCAAATAAAATTTTTAGTTTTTCATTAATGATGATGATGTTATTTTTTTAACAATATTTGAAAATCACTCCTTTGTTCCCATTGTAAAATTAAAGAACAATCAATCATACTAATAATTTACTGTTTTCTTAATTCTTTTTCTTCCTTCCTCCTTCCTTCCTTTTTTTCCTTCTTCCTTTGCTTTCTTTACTTCTTTTTCTTTTCTGTAATATTTTATAAACAATCGTTTAATTTTTCATTAACGCAAATAAAAAAAGTCGTGTCACGATTTCTTTTTCTAATACTAATATATTGCAAATTTGGAAAGTGTTGTACAGTGCCCTACAATAAATGGATATGTAGCACGGAATATAATTGTCCTTGTTTGTATAATTGAACTTGCTCATGGTATCATTTTACATTTTGTGATTATTACGAATATTGAAATTTTTTCGAATATCGTCACACAACTTTAAGCTTGCATTTTGTTTTACTAACTTAAATGCTCATATAAAAGTCATGTGAGAATCATTACATTACATATAATACTAATACTAATTAAAATTTTATATGAGATACCCAATTAATTACCCTTATATGGGGTATACTGCAACAGGACTACGGATTATTATAATACAGGCAGACTATTAATATTAATATTAAGTAATTACTAAAATCTTATTGGTTGGTTGTGACGATCACTGATATAAATAACTAATTCATCTACGGCTGTTGGGGTGTGCGACATTCTACGTAAGAAAATCAAAACTAATTAATGTCATATATTGATTGGTTGGTTATATGTGATTTTTTCATACCACATACAGAATTTCCGAATTTATGTAAAGAGCATAGTAATAGTAGATGTATTGCTTTTAAACCAACTAATCCTCCTCCGTTTCAAAGATATAGGTACCAAATTTGCATAAAAGATAGTATAAATATTATATTATAGAGCTATGGAAACATTTAAATGTATATAAAATACCAATAATGTAAAAAAACTCATTTGAAATACATAAAATTTCTTTCTTTATCATATTACTTTTTATCTATTGCAACTTACAAAAAAATTGTTCCATAGCACTATTCTAGAAACATCTACTGATTAAAAGCCTCTAATAATTTTATAGATGTGATGATTTTTTCAGAAGCCTTAGCAATTGAAAGTTTGTAATTGTAATATTTATCTATTCCCAAAAAAATTATGCAAAATAAACATATTCCACAGATACCTTCTGCAAAATAAAAAAAACTTTATATATCATGTATTTTTGAATGTTATAACAAAGTTTTTGTTACACGATTTCCTTTTTTAGAGGAAAAAAGGGACCATAAAAAATTGTCATCAAATATTGTTAATATTAATAACAAATAATCATATGAAATGATTATTATCTAGAATTGTTACACTACCATGGAACCCAATAATTACAACACTATTGGGCTGCCATCAGTTTTTTGAAAAATATTCATATACTGAATAACTATAGTCCAAAAGAGTAACTGAAATGGAGTGGGATTTTTTTGTGAAGTTATTAGTAAGTATTAGTATATTTAGCTTATCCCCAAAAAAAAAATTTGCAGATCACAATAGAATCATCAATTAATGATAAAATTCAAGCCCAAATTTTTTTGCTAGTGTATTTTCATATAAAGTATGTAAAAATAATCACTATCTTCACATGAGAGTAGAATATATAAAAATAATAAGGAATAAACAAAAAGAGAAACAATATGAGAGAGATCAAGAGTTTTCTTTTGCAACACAGAAGGGATTTAAAGCAAAGAAAGAATATTTAGCATAAAATATAATTATTAATGTATAAATCTCATTTCTGTATATTTGGACTTACAGATCATCTCTCTTTTTAAATCTTGTTTAAGGTGAGTTGGAAGACATATTCCTTTCTTAATAATTGATTGATATAGTGCAGCTGAGCTTTCAACTAAATCCTGAATGAAATATTATTATTATTAATTATTATGCAAATGTAAATATTTAATATTGAAATTTGCCTACCTTTATTGTAACTAATACTTGGAAACACCTCAACAAATTACCCCAGCTTTCAGGCTAAGGTTGTGGGCAAAACTTCTCCAGAAATCAATTGACAGGTTACACATTAATTGTTTATTAGAGTTTTGGCAGAGTTTCGCATTTGGGGGTTTTGTCAATTGTCAGAGTTTTGACAAGGTATATACTAATTGTTCATTAGAGTTTTGACAGTCGCTAAGAGATTTCGGCAAGCAACCTTATTTCAGGACCATGAGGAAGGTAAAATTCCCCAATCAAAAACATTTGATAGATTCCTTCATAATGTAAATCCATAACATATGCAAACAATATTTATATACTTACCAATGATTTGTGTACCACATATAATAAATAATGTTGTCTACAGAATCTTCAAGTGATTCACCCAAGGAGGATTTCATCATTTTTGCAAGAGCAACAAGATCCATATCTATTAAGTGTTTATTTGCATTGTTTGATTTTATTTCATCTAAAAGTAGTTTTAAAATTTTTCCCCATTTTGTTGTTCCTAGGGATGGGCAAAAATGCAAAATACTTAGTTTATTGTGTGCATAATGTGCATAATATGCATTATGCACATAGTAAATTATCAATGATTTTTAAAAACATCCGCCATATCTTCATGATTTTAGTTTAGATGTAGTAAAACATATGTTTGTTGTTGTGATTAGAATACAAAATTTTATTATAAAAATTTATTATTTTACTAACTTAGTAAGTTACATCAGAATCATAAAAATCATCAGATTGTTGATTTCCTTTTTCATTTTCACTACTACCCTTGGAGTTGTTATACTTACTCTTGAACAAAATTTAAAATGCGCAACATATTTACCAACAGCAGCATTTATTTCATAATTACAATATTTGCATTGTGCATGAGGTTGCTGAAAGTCTGATACTTGACCAAGTTTATTGAATGGGATTAGCTGGCAGCATTTAAAAAATTTTTTTCATTTATTATTTACATCATGTAATACAAAAATTCAAAAAAAATTTATTTTTAAAATTTTTGGTGTGTAACACAGATTTATCTAATCTATTATGCGCATCGCATAATGTGACGCATAATGCGCACGGCACATCTCTACCTCTAAGAATTGCACAAAAAACTGACCACCTTTTTGTAATTGTTCATGGGCCAATTCTTCAAACCACTTGTCATGTATTAAACTAGCATCTGGAAAAGAGGCACCAGCTTCAATTAGATGAATAATTTTTATCTGGTTGTTAAACGCATGTTTGTGATTATACATGCAACCCAAATTGGTTTGGTGATTTTGATGGCCAAAATTATTCCAATTTTGATGGTAGAAAGTAGAAATTAATTACGGCATTCACTATTAAAAACATAAGTGTAACACCCCTTTACTACATGTGTAGCCCCCTTTATGACAGTGTCAAAATACTTTGGGCTGCATGTATATTTGTGATATAGCTCTTTAGCTATTTTGTCAGAAGCAAACTTCAAAATTTTTTCTTTAAAATTTGTTTTTAATGGATGGATATGAATTATTCTACCATTAAAATCATCATATTACAAGCCCATATTTTTAAATGTCAAATTTTCTACAAGGGATTTTAAGTTATATCTAGAAGTCAATTCCTCAAAGTTTGGCTCATTATCTCTTTTATCAAAAATTGTTCATGATATTGGACCTAAGGTTGTGGGCAAAACCTCCTTAGTAATTGCTGAAACCATGGCAAAACTATATTAAATCTTATCAAAAATCCTGTTGAAATGGTGAAACTCAAAATGCGAAACTCTGCTGATTTCTGGATGAGTTTTGGCAAGCAACCTTAATTGGACCCCACCAGTCCATCAATTCCTGAACACAATCAGCTGTCGTTTTCTCTTTCCATTGTTCTCTCCATAGTATCCAGATTTCATCTGGTGTCCAAATTGGTGCATAATAAGAGTGACACCTTCTCATTTAATGTATTCATTCCATCTTTCCTGCCTTGGTGATGAAGTAAAAGTGTATATGCAATAACAATATTCATGGGAACTATTGAGTCAACAAGATAAAAAGCCTTCTCATCATATAATGTGTCATGAAAACAAGAACTCATTCTCTGAATTTCACTTACCACATGTAAATCTGGAAAAAACACATACCACATGCTGTCAATAGTTTCCCAAATAATTTAGAATCAGGGTAATGGTGGGTAATATAGAAAAGAAAATATAGACCAAAGAAAGTTTTGCCTATGCCAGGTGTGCCTACTATTGTGCAACCATTATTGACATCCTTTTCAAGTTGTCAATCATTTGCAAATATGATTTCTGTATTAAAATTATTGATATGTCATTTGAGACAATGCAAAATGTGGACTTTGGCAAACAGAGCATTCCACCCCAATTATCTGGAGGCTCCTCTTCCTTCATGTTTTCCTCCATATTTATTGTCTCTGTACAGTCGAACCTCGTTATAACGGACATATTGGTTTGGCCTCAATGGTCCGTTATAACAAGGTATCCGGTAACCAAGGTAATTGATGATCATTGTTGTTTTCCTCCATATTTATTGTCTCTGTACAGTCGAACCTCGTTATAACGGACATATTGGTTTGGCCTCAATGGTCCGTTATAACAAGGTATCCGGTAACCAAGGTAATTGATGATCATCATGTGATGTTTTTAAAAATAACTTTTTTATTATTTATTAATTAATATCAACGATAGTAAAATTGTACAACATAATAATAATAATAATAATTATAATTATAATATAACTAGTGTTCCATGTTGCAATCCAAAAAAGGAAACAAAATGGTTGTAAAGGTGGTTGCAACCAGTGGTTGCAATCGTTTTTATATGATGCAAA